CGACAGAGTTGATTCATCCTCGGTCATAGATTTTGCAGCCATTGCGAAAGATCAAGAGGATGATAGTGAGGTACAGGACTCCTCGCTTCAGCTCAAGTCTATATCGCTTCCTGGTTCTCTTACTACCATGCTATGTGATGTTTCGACAGGTGTTGCTAGACCCCTTGTTCCAGTCAAACACAGACGAGCTATTTTTGACGCCCTCCACGGACTATCCCATCCTGGGATCAGGGCCACTCAAAAGCTCATCACGGAACGTTTCGTTTGGCCTGGTATTAATCATGATATCAGGAAATGGGCCAGAACATGTCTTGAATGCCAGAGATGCAAGGTGCATAAACACACAAAAGTTCCACTTGGCACTTTTACCTCACCTGATGCGCGTTTCTCTCATGTGCACATCGATCTTGTAGGCCCACTTCCTACTTCAGAGGGTAACACGTACCTTCTTACTTGTGTGGATCGTTACACCAGATGGCCAGAAGCTATACCTATCCCAGATATCACTGCGGATACTGTAGCACGTACTTTTGTGGCCAGATGGGTAGCGGTGTTTGGTGCTCCAACTACTCTTACTACAGACAGGGGTAGACAATTTGAGTCAGCACTCTTCCTTGCTCTCACTAATCTTCTTGGCACTAAACGCATTCGCACAACAGCATACCATCCAGCAGCCAATGGGCTTGTTGAGCGTTTTCACAGGCAACTCAAAGCCTCTCTCAAGGCGCATAACACAGTCCGTTGGACTGAGGTCCTTCCCTTGGTATTGCTGGGTATACGTACAGCTATCAAGTCTGATCTGGGATGTTCCGCAGCAGAACTCGTTTTTGGTACTACGGTCATGCTACCGGCCCAATTTGTGTCTCCTTCACAGACTGACTCTGCTGGCGATCCAGCTAATTACGCCCACAGACTGAAGAGACTGATGCGTGAATTACATCCCACCCCTACTCGCAAACAACGAGCTACCCCTACACAGGTACACCCAGAGTTGCATTCCTCATCCCACGTCTTTTTGAGGGTTGATGCAGTCAAGGGGCCCCTTCAACCTCCTTACAGGGGGCCTTTTCGAGTCCTTCAACGCTCTGACAAGTTTTTTACTATTGATTACAATGGTAAACGTGAAACTGTCAGTGTTGAGAGACTTAAACCAACTTTCATGGAGCAAGATCTCCCTGCTCAATCTAGGAAGGGTCAAGATCCACCTATCCAAGTCCCTCGGCAATCCAACTCCGCAGACTTAGCACTGGATCCTGCTCCGTTAGCACTGGATCCTGCTCCGTTAGCACTGGATCCTGCACCGTTAGCATTGGATCCTGCACTGAAGCAGAACACTCCTGAGATTCGAAAGACCAGGTCTGGTCGTCAAGTTAGATGGCCAGTGAGGTTCGTGGATTTTTTCGAAGTCGGGTGAAGCATGTTAAATTTACTGTGTTTCAACAGTATTACCATATTTTCGTATTTTCAAGTCAACATGCATGTAGGTCTATATTTCCTCATCGATTTGTTGCTACTTTTCATTCGACAACAAATCTAGAGGGGAGCTACTGTAGTGACTTGACCTTTGAAGAACTTTGCATTTGTAAATATTATTGTCTTGTCTTTATTGTGTGGCTTGAAGTCTAGCCTTTTATTCCATTGTCACTCATTTCTTTAGTGACACCTGTTGCATTACTAGAGTGCCACAAATACTTACTCTGGCAAGCACATTCCATACCCTATGGGTTGGGATGTGCAACCACCTAATGTACTGGTATAGCTTATACTGTACAGGGACATTACACTTGCTTGCTTTATTTGCCACACCTATTTTGATCACTTCTCCTGAGCTGTTCATATAGAGCACACCTATTCTAGAGAGTCGATCGATCAACAGCAAAGCTAATTCAGCTTCATCTTAATTCTTGTCCTATTTCTTCGCTTGTTTCTCTACTCGGTTCTGAGGCCTTATTACTTTATAGAGATTATAAGTTTCTTCTTCTTTACTTAATTCGCGAAGAAGCGTCATTACTTTGTACATGGTCTTACATATTCTTTCTACGGGTGCTGTGCAATATTTGAACTACTACTTGTGATATAATATATGTTCCAAGTATCTGTACTCAACAGGTGTTTCTACGAGACAAGGTAGGAAAGAAATCTATTTCTATTTCTTTTATTTAGGTGATTAAATTCCCTAAAGCATCAAAGGCCCTCAGTGATGCAGAGACGAGGTACGCCAACATAGAGCGAGAGCTGCTTGCAGTGGTCTTCGGCTGTGAACGATTCCACATCTTCCTGTACGGGAAAAGTTTCATAGTTGAGACGGACCACAAGCCCCTGGAGATGATCCAGCATAAGCACCTGGCAGCGGCTCCACCTAGACTCCAGCGTATGCTCCTTCGTCTACAGCCATACAAGCTGACAATTGTCTACAAGCCTGGTAAGGATGTACCAGTAGCTGACTGCCTATCCAGACGTCCTCTTGGTCCTCCAGAACACATCCACCTTGACCTGCAAATCAACTTTGTACAGTTTGCTCCAGACTGTTTGAGTCAGTTGAAGGAGGAAACAGCCAAGAATGCAGAGTTTGCAGCACTACAGAAGGTGATTGTGAAAGGGTGGCCAGAGAAGAGACGTGAGCTCCCACGACAGCTGCAGAGATACTGGGCCTTTCGAGATCAACTTGCAGTTGAGGATGGTCTGATCCTGAATGGTGAACGAATCCTTATTCCACACTCCATGAGGGAGTACATACTGAGCAAGCTTCACGAAGGTCATCAAGGTATCGAGAAGACACGACTTCGGGCTAAGGCTTCTGTGTACTGGGAATCAATCAATGACGATATCGAGGTCCTGGTGAAAGGCTGCTCAGTCTGCCAAGAGTACAAGCCCTCGCAGCCCCATGAGACTCTTCTCCAGCACGAGATACCTACACGATCCTGGCAAGTCTTAGGTACAGACTTATTTCACTTTGAAGGGAACAATTATCTCATCATTGCAGATTACTTCTCGAAATTCCCTTTCATCCGGAAAATGCCTCAAGAGTGTACCAGTGCTGCAGTAGTCAATGCGACCCGTCAGGTGTTCGCAGAACAAGGAGTTCCAGAAGGAATCGTTAGCGACAACGGAAGACATTTTGACTCCTCAACATACAGAGACTTTGCTACACAGTGGGGATTCAGCCATGTTACATCCTCTCCCCACTACCCCAGGTCAAATGGCTTCATTGAGCGAATGATTCAAACTGTCAAGAATACGCTCAAGAAAGCTAAAGTGAGTGGTATCGACCCCAACATGGCTCTACTATGTATCCGTGCCACTCCAATTGACAGCCGCATTCCAAGCCCAGCTGAGCTTCTTTACGGGAGGAAGATGAAGGACAACTTACCAACTCGAATCCGCAACAACTCCCCTGGTCGTGATGATGTTAACCATCGTATGCAGCTTCGACAGCAGAGCCAGAAGTATCATCACGACAAATCAGCCCATGACCTAGCACCACTCTCACCTGGGCAGCTTGTTAGAGTCCAAGACCAGACATCACGTCACTGGATAACAGCTACTGTTCGTGAGCAATGCCATGAGCCTAGGTCATATCTCGTCGAGACGCCTAATGGAAGGGTGCTACGCAGAAACCGGCAACACCTCGCTGATATTGAGCCCAGGCGTATCCATCATGATGAGGAGGTAACCAAGACACCCGATCCTCATACACGCGAAGAGATGACGCTTGATCCAACGCCCGACATCAGAGGTTCTCCTGCCCCAACCCCTGCCCCAAACCCTGGCCCAAACCCTGTCCCAATCCCCAACCACCAGCAGACCACCCGCAGTGGCCGGGTAATCAAGAAGCCAGAAAAACTGACTTATTGATAGGACTTCATCTTTGGATACTTCAAGTTTGGACATTATGGACTCAGTTTATTTTTCTGTAAGGGGGATGTAATATGTGATCTTATACATTGACTCAATGCTACTTGCTATACACACATACACACAGTTAATGTACACTGTGGTGTATGGGCTCTTCTATACACAATATAACCAGTCATGCTGGATTGCAACTTCACTCTGATGTTTCTCTATGTGTCTTCATTTGAGTACTAACCATACAGCTAAACAACCCCACATTATAGGGATAATATAAGTTTTCGATGATAGGACGACAGTATCAGACAGAGAGGGCCAAGAATGTGAAAATGAAATAAACCTGGATATTCCTGGGAGGAAATAGCTATTTGTCTCTTTATTTTGTCATAAACTTATGACCAAAAAGAGCTTCGAAATTCACATGGGAATATCTAACACAATGACATGTCAGGATACTGCTGGGTCAACTTATTTATTAAGAAGGAGAAATTTAAAAAAAGCATCGGGTTCTTCAACCTCTCCATAATAGACGTTTATGGGAATGACTTGTGTTATTTACATTCCTTGAAGTGACTCGGTAACATTGCCTCAGATTCTGAAACTAAATCCTGGATTTAGCACACGCTGCAATCATAATTATAAACATTTAGGTAATCAGTCAGGAATCCCATGACTTTTACAAGCCGGTCGCCTGTCTGATTATCAAGATATTTATGATTGGAAATCGAAATTTAATTTTTCGTTTCCCTAACGGCTTTTATAACACTACTGTCAATTGGGGAAAATGAGTATGGCAATTTTTGTTAGGGCTTTAATATTACACGGCCATAGCACAGACACTGATAGCACGTAGGGCCATGCATCTCAGATTTAACATAGTTAAACGATGCCTTTAATTGGACCACCTAACGGATCCGTTATAGATGGGCCCCGTGTCATGACCGTTGGGAATATTCCAAACTTATTTACCATCGGTATCAATCACAACGAGGCACATAAGGCGGGGCCCAGATCTTGATGAATGACAAGACCTGTATTTGAACAAATCAGTGCATATTTGTGTGTAATGTCAGTAACATCACATTTTTAAGATGAATAATTACATGATCTCCTAGTTACTAAATTCTCTCTTTTATGATACTCGCCAGTGGCCATCGGATTTCTCCTAGGAGGGATCATCCTATTTCTTCTAATCGTTGTCTTCGTCATCTGCCTCGTCGTTATCAGGTAAGTTGGATAATCGACGTCACTGATTCTTAACCTTGGGGTCATAACGTACCCTTATCCCCTCCTCCAGTGGCGGACCCAGGGGGGGGGGGGAGCCGGGGGGCCCTGCCCCCTGGGAAAAAAACATTAATTTTACCTTTTCATTGAGATTCCCCCCCCCCCTGGCGCCCGAAGTGGGGGAAGGGGGTGCAATTTTTTAAAATTTACGAGGCCCCCCCCCCCCCCCCCCCAAAAAAAAAAAAAAAAAAAAAAAAAAAAATTATGCTCACTGTTAAAGACAGGGCACGGGAAAAACACATAGTTTCGTCATGCTACAGCCCCTTTAATGGTTCTTCTTTGACACACATGATTATATTTACTTAATATATCTACTTTTGTCATGGCAGCCCGAGAGCGAAGGCCAAGAAGGAAGAAGTAAAGGCAGTGCGTCTCCGCAACGCCGCTCGTCACTCGACTGCTGGCAATAGCTACTCACCCAACATCGTACTAGATCGTGACGGGCGTCGAAGTGTCCGCAGCAACGGAATCCAGCGGGTCGAGGAGTCAGAGACGTACGACAACGGTGCGTTTTTAGCAGACGACGCTTCAATCATTGGTGTATATGGCGAGCGGCAGAGGGCGGTTGAAAATCCGTACGCGACTTTCCGAACGGACGACACAGCCAAGAAAATTCTTTTCGCTGATACCGCGCGAAAACTGAACCAGATCTACGTACCGGGTAGTCCCGATATGTCAACGGTTAGTAGAGGTACGCGAAGGAGTAGCAGCGATCGCTACGGTGCTCAGCTTGTTGTGTAGTCGCGAGATGTTCTTCCTTTTTCTGAACTTTCCAAGATGAGTGTTGTATTTTGATTTTGTATTCTAAGTGTTATTTTCAGGAGAGAACGCAACAAAAAAAATCTGTGTAGTCAGAAGTATATGGCGCAGGTGTGCGTTGATCACTTTTAATCTTAGGTGGATTTTGTTCTTGTTGCTGTTCTTTTTTGTTTTACTGTGGTTATACACGATACAATGCAGGGTCAAATAACCGAAGCTACTCCTCAAGTGTGATAACTAATGTTATTCCAAATCTTTAACCTGAATTCACGATGATAGTTTAATATCACACTTGTTGATTTACATTGATTTACTATGGGCGGTCAAAAGCGAAAATGAAGATTGGAAACGACAAAACAGTCAAAGTAATGACCAAAACAATCCAAAAACAAAAACTAACTTTAAAAATTTGCCATTAAGAAAAAAAGTGTCTTTTTCGCAAAATGGTATTCTCAAAAAGAAGAAAATATTTAGTTTTTAGTCTTTATTTGGACCCCTCTGGCCGTCCATATTATATTGTTCGTCTAGAACTATGGTTTAAGTTTAAACCACCATCATAACTTTGAACCTTTATGTTTATTAGCACGATCATTTTACCGTCGTTAAAACAAAATCTTTATTTTTGTTTTGGTTCAGAACAAATTGTTCCTTAAACTGTTAATTCATGTAAGTTCCGGTAATTCAGGTCCACGATATCAATGTTTCCTATACGCTCAGCCGCTGTGCTGCCATCGGCGGTCACAAACAAGAGTTGGAGCTATGTCATTTTTTTGTTGAGAAGGGAGAGCCTCCCCTTTCTACCCGGAGGGTAGGTTATTGGTGAACCAGGGGGGGGGGGGAGTACAGGGGAACATATAAATGATTATCTACTATGAATACACAATATTATACAAAAGCGTTTCTCTTCCCCCATTGTTATAGATTTTTTACCCCTTCATAGTATATATAGTTTTCTCAATTATTATAGTATTAAATATCCGCCTGATAGGGATATACCTTGCAATGATTAATAACATGAAATTATCATGTCATATGTAAAGCGTACGAGGGGGCGAAGGCGCCTTTTTGTGGGGAGAAACACGATATCGCGAAACATCATTCGACACACCTTGATTTTTTGTATTATCGTAATACCTTTTGTCATATTTATGCTACAAAAATATTAGAATATCATTATCACTACAGATGAAATTGATACTTTTATACCTGTCCTGTTACTGTTACTTATGTGCCTTACAACAAGTTATGAGTATTTTACCGCTTAATGCACTTAATAACTAAATCATTTATACCCCTTGTAAATTTTGTGTTTTTTGTGTGATTTGCGTAATTCAAGACAGAAAGGTTTATTGGTTGTTACATGTATAAGGTATTTTTTGTTGATTACTTTTAAATTCGAGCTTTGATATGTCAAATTCTTCTGAAACATAAATCGGGAAAATCAAATTGTTCACATTTTTCACATATTTTTAAAAATGTACAAAACTTGTTAAGGGTATGACAATTTTTAGTTGCTAGCTGTATTATACAAACAGGTTTGGGGTGCGGTTGTTATTAAGTTCACGGTGCACCTTCCGAACTAAATACATACGACTACATTTGGGTTTTTGAAAGAAATGTAGGATTATAATAAAAGAAATAATTCTTCACGCTGATCGAGGTCTAGAACTGTGATATAAATTCAGATATCGAAACTGCTGGGAGTTTTGAGCCTTCTAGACTCACCCCCACCCTCAAAAAAAAAAAAAATGAAAACTATAAAAAGAAACATACAAAGAAAAAAAAAAAAAAAAAAAAAAAAAACCTTCAAACGGCTGTTAATCACACAGACGTCGTACACAAGCCGTACGAGTGTAGCCAGCGACTGCTAGCTTGTTTTCCTGTTCTCTTGTCTGAAAAATAACGTGAAATTCGATATGTCAATTTGACAATTCTGGACCTCATATTTGGACTTCATCAAGATATTTTTCCATTTTTTATAAATTCAGTTTCCAGTTTAAATTCAATTTATTATTCAATTTGCATTCGCAGTCGGATCGACAGATAAGCGATGACATTCAGGTCACTATAGTGGAAGGGGTCAAAGTCATAGGTCATATACCAAATGACAGGGCTGAAGTTTAACGGGTGTTCGTCACACGACTGTACGAAGAAAAGTCCGTGTATTTTTACAATATATCAAAGAACATAAGCACAACATGTCCGGTATAACGATAAACATTAAGTTGCTATAGCAACACAACTATTAGCGCGACGTAAATACGGAACACCCTTTCCGTCAAGTGAAATGTTGTTTTTGTTTTTATAGTTACGAGGATTCTATTTATTGTGCATGGTATTGTTTTTAAACATGTTGATGTGGTGATGTTCAGCCTTTGGTAATTTCAGCTGCCTGTAAAATCACCTTTCCTCTTACCTTTACTAGTTCTCTTTGTATAGTAAATTAAAGTATAGTATATTTCCAAAGACATGTCTTTGGAACAATTTTATGCATATATATTTTTCTTCTGGAATATCAGCTGGTTAATATTCTAGTAACTAAATTCTGTATCTAAGAACTTTTTGGACAAAGCTATAAGAGCTTTCAATTTTGCAGCTTAGGATTTTTAGAAACACATATACATACATGTTCTGAGTCTTTCAGTATTTTTAGACGTACTTTATGAGAAACTATAATATATATTGCCATCTTCCATAACTTATGTATATGTTTATAAAAATGAACAATTATAGAATATTAGAATAAAAAAGTGTATTTATTGAAAGAGAAAATAAATCAAGTATTCAATTCAATGTGACTCTATATAGTTTCCATGATCTATTATTCTATTATGAAACGTAATCTACACTTTTCAAAATTGTGCAGTGCGTTTAAACTGAAAAGTATACCCAACTTTGATAGCTCCTTTTACAAAAATTCATAACCAATGTGACCTTGAAGTCCTTTTCAGGATGAAGAGTAAATTGTTTTGATACCGTATCATAGTTTTTCTGCTACCGATAACCAAGCACCCGGGTTTTAAAAACAATTTGTCAAAATCACCTTTTACTAAATGTGGGCTGATGATGCAAATATGGGTCACTGAAGCCAAGTACTATTTGGTCTTACATCCTTTTAAAGTTTAATTCTGCCTCGTGCTTCAGTGCTATATTGCTCAAAGTGAACAATGTATGTATGCTTTCAGTTCACAGGACTTTTTTCAACTCGTAGCCTATCCCTAGATTTACTCGGAATAGCCTACTATCCCTTCCTGTCTCATGATATCTAGCAGCCTTTTCACACACAGCTAAAATTCTATAAACATGATTAGTTTAAAGGGCTTTAAACTAATCAGCTGTACATACGACATCATTCACACACAGAAATTTCGGTGCGATCGTTAATCGTTTCGTGATTAACTACTGCTCTTAAAATGCGCAGTAATGCCATTGCGCATTGAAGGTCATGTCATATCAAACAAAGCGCACGCTCCATCCAGTTTAAACACGTTTAAAACCGTTCACACACACAACATGTCAAGCTCTCTAGATACGAACTTCGTATCTGCAGCCTGCTTTGAGGGGCGCATGAATCGCGACTTCGTATCTATCAGAACATCGTATAAACGATGTTCACACAGGGACAATTGTCTTAACATGTTTAAAACTGTTGAGTTAAACACGTTTAAACTAATCACCTCTAGATACAATGAATTTTAGTTGTGGGTAAAAAGGCTGTAGGTTCTCTCTGCTCACCTGCCCGCTGAACTACACATGAAAACTCGGAGGTTCCTAAACTCAAATGCAATAAACAGTTATTTTGATAACCACCAAAATAGTGACAAAAGACTTTCATTTTTAAGGCATTGTTTAACAATACCAAATCTGAGATGCATACTCTTGTTATCAGTGTCTGCGATATGGTGTAATATTGAAGCCCTACAAAAATTGTGCTTCAAAATGATCATGAAGTGCCTCAAAAAGTAAGAAAAATTTGAGTGACCGGTTTTACCATACTCATTTTCCCCAATAAACTGTAATGTTAAACTGTAAAAACCGTTGGGAAAATGGTTTTTGAAATTTCGATTTCCAATCATAAAAATCTTGATAATCAGACAGGCGGACGGCTTGTTAAAGTCATAGGATTCCTGACTGACCTAAAGGTTTATATTTATGATTGCAGTATGAGCTAAATCCAATATTTTGGATACTCGATCCCTTTAAAGGGATCCGGTAACTTTGTCTTAGATCCTTTAGAAATAATCTTTGATTTAGCTCATGTTGCAATGATAATTATAAACCTTTAGGTCAGTCAGGAACTCCATGACTTTTACAAGCCGATCGCCTGTCTGATTATCAATATATTAATGATTGGAATTACAAATTTTGAAAACCGTTCGCTGAACGGTTTTCATAACACTACAGTCTATTGGGGAAAACGAGCATGGTAAACCCGGTCACTCAAAGATTTTTACTTTTTTGAGGCACTTCTTGATCATTTTGAAGCGCGATTTTTTTTATAGCGCTTCAATATTACACCATATCACACACAGGTAACATGTGGGACCGTGTATCTCAGATTTATCAATGTTAAACGATCCCTTTAAAGAATATCATCCCATATTTTCCAATTTTAATCAATCAAAGAGAAGGGTGGATGAGACAAGTGGATTGTTTCATGTATATGTACGTAATTTGTTTTGTTATTCATCTCGTGTCCAGGCGGAAAGGTTCGGGAGTGGGTCACCCCAGGGCCTGTCCAGTGTTATATACAGGGGATCTAGCTTCCCGTTGGGGGCGTTTATGTCAAATATTTACATCCAGGCTAGGGCAACAATTGAGAATGTAAACATGAGTGAATTTCGTGAGAGTTCGAGATAAACCTTTCCTTGCCTGATGGATTAAAAACTGTTTCGGGGTTTTTCTTTTGCTAAAATGTAACAAAAATTGTTTCGACAACCCACCCCTATAAATACCCCCTGATTAAAATGGTCCAGCGATATCAATACATGGCCCTTTTTCATTTTGTGTCCCCCTTGCACGACCCATCCGACACATACCTGAAATACACAAAGAGAATCATGTCTCCCCCTATCGATTTCAACGTCACCGTTTATTTTTTTTAAGTATTTTTGCTTGAATTCTCATAGTATAGTTTAACATTGTGCGCCCTCTCCCGAATAATGACCTGGATCCACCCTAGTTTACGGTTATAATTTTGCTCCGTCTATATAGTTCATATGTGAAGTGCATTGTATTTCGAGAATAGAAATTGTATTTCTGTACCAGAATACCACCGACCAAAATGACTGGTGTTCAACACCTGGCAGTTACAATTATTCAATAGAATAAATAAATAAGAGAGAAAATAAACGGCTGGATATGATTATGATGCCGTTGGTCTTCCAAGGGGGGGGGGGGGCTAGAAATGGTACAGTAAAACAATCCAATATACATAAACAAACGACAGAGGACGATGGCAAAACATCAATTTCCCAAACAAAATATATCAATAAAATGAAACGGCCATGACACACAGTAGAGTAAAGAACTAGTACCATAGAAACATCGTTGTGTGAAGTAAATCGCAAATAAATGCGAACTCTTGACATGCTCTATGGTCACTAAAGGTCTCATGTGGTTCACATTTTAGCTACAACAAAACATCTATAGACTATAGAGATCTAGGTTCATAAGCCTGCTGTCAAATGTCTTTACAGCTAATTCTACTATTCGGATGACATAGCAGAGAGAGTCAATATTCTCAAGGTTAACGGCGGCGTATTATTGTCATCGAACTATTCAAATAGCATTAGCGAGAGGTTGAACAAATAATAATGATAGTACATCGTCGTTAACCTTGACAATATTAGGGACTTTTAGATTTGCATGGACCGATACGGATGACGTCCATTCACGGCAGTGCATTAAAAGGACGTCGATCGTAGCATAGACCTATTGTCTCCGTGCAAATCTAAAAGTCCCTATTATTCTCAAGGTTAACGACGGCGTATTATTGTCATCAAACTATTCAAATAACATTAGCGAGAAGTTGAACAAATAACAATAATAATACATCGTCGTTAACCTTGACAATATTCATCCTTTTCTCTCTCTGCTAAATCATCCGAACAGTGGAATCAACTGTAAAACGAATCATTGTCTTCATTTAAGAGACATTTGACAGAAAGCTTATGAACCTAGATCACTATAGATGTTTTTGTTGTAACTATTATGTGAATCACATATTCAGTGGCCGTAGAGCATGTCGAGAATTCGCATTTATTTGTAGTTTACTGCACACAATTCTGTTTTTATAATACTAGTTTCTTTTCTCTACTGTCTGTCATGACCATTTCATTTCTTACTATTTCAAAGTGCACGTTACATTAAATGAAAGTAGCAATGGCGAAAGATTGTTGCTTAAATTCAGCAACAATCGTTACTTGCTAAAATTGTTTTGCCATTAAATTACAACAAGAATAATGCTAGATGAAACTGTGATCGACGAAAATGATGGTGTCTTGAACACATGAGAAATATTAGAAAAAGAATGAATGAGACATAAATGTGATCATGTAACCAATTTGTTTACTTCATGATAATCCCACAGTACCAAATAAATAAGCCGGAATCGGGAAAGTTGGAAATAAGGGTTGGTTTGAAGACGATTATTTATGGCATACTGTCTATTGTCGAGATATTTAAAGGTAATACAAAGTTTTGGTATGGGGTCGTGAATTTGGTTCAAGTGAACATATTGGAAGCAAATGCGATCCTACAATATTCAGTGATCGTTGTCGCGGTCGAAATCGACTCTAAAGTTATGAAATTGTAAATAATAAACACTTTATGTTGTATAGCTCCTTCTCAAGGTCAATATATTAATTAAGCTATGAAACAATGTTTCTTGACTACAATCGACCGATTAGCTATTCCCGTTTGGAAATTATATACCACAACTTCATATTCTGAGATTTTCATGGTCGTAGCTACCATTGTACGGCCGTAGGAGCCATTTGAAATTTATCAAAATTTACCGGGAGCACCGGTAAATCTTTATATTCAATTTTTCTCGAAAGCAGAAGTATTTTAGGGGCTAATTTTTTAGTGCTTATAGGCTAATACATCCACAGATGCATCCCAATGTATCAAAATTGTAAAGAATCACTATCCACCCATTTTTCGAAATTTCCCAAAACTTTGTAATATCAAAACACTTAACCTTGGGGCTAACTTTGATTCATGGGGTCATCGCGTCCGGTAAGGTGCTGGTCGCGTTATACGACCTTTCGTAAAATATGAAAGGGGAGGGTCATGTACATATGGCGTTTTCACATAGTAGGCCCATTCACAAAGCCCAAACACCATCTTGATCCGTTACCATTATGTTTATAGCCCTATAGTGTTCACATTCACGCGCACTTTCTGATAGGGAAGGGTCCTTACAACCAACAGAACAAAACAAATATTTGAGAATTTAAAGGTACTATGTCTCATTTGCAGGCCCCAAAAATGAAAAGGTTAAATTCCAACAGCATTTGAAAGATAATACTAAATCTAGAACTTCTTGAAAATGTCTTCAAGTGAGAAAATAACGACTATTAGTTGTCAAATCGACTTAGGGGCTGTAGAGCATATAAGTAATATTCTTAATTTTCAGACCATTGTACCGAATCGTCATACGTTTTATGCTGCGCAAAGATTCAATCAGTTTAATTTCGGCCATCACAAGAAGTGGGTTATTGATGTAGACAAATGATCATGTACTCTTTACAGCTCATTTTATGTATGTTATTACCAAAGAAGAAAAAGCCAGTCAGTCACTCAATAGTGTCTGACAGTGAAGTCTAGCAAGTAAACGGGTTTCCTTGCATAATTTGAATATGAGGACACTGGTAACATTTAGATTTCACAGATAGGACATACATGACATATTCATAATTCCTGCAAAGTTCTACAGAATTTGAGGTTGACTGCAAAAGAGACATAGTACCTTTAAGTCTCAGGGGTGTATGCCTTTTCAGATTTCGATCCCAATGGACTATTGATAATGTAATATGTGGGAATTGCCATGCACTGTACATGTACAGTGTGTTTCCCATCAACATGCGCATTCCGTAAAAAGACACTAATTCATTTGGGATAAAAAAAAAAATGACTTATCCATCACATTACTGGTTTTTTCATTGTTGTGTAAAGAACTTTGAATTATAATTAGTTTCATTAGTTTCATAACCCCATAGTCTGAGTCTAGTGTTGCCACGATTAGATTACTGCTCTGTTGTATGATCGAACAGATTTCATTCTCATACAACTAAGCTGCAAAAAATTCAAAAGAGGGCCGCAAGAATAATATTGAACAAGACATATGACACACCGTCGGCTGATTTGTTCAGTTAAGTCGCGTTATGATGATATATAAATGCGTTCATAACTTAGCACCTTCTTACCTTCAGGTAGGCTTAATCAATCCTAATGATGTACATGAGCATCATACAAGGCAAATAGACAGTGGATGTTTACGTGTGCCTAGAATTCACACTGATTGTTATAAGTGTAGCCCAATCGTTTCTTCCATATTTGAATGGAATAAGCTAGATAATTCGTTGAGAACGGCTTCCTCTGTCAATTCATGAGATTGTTTAAACAAAGTTGTAATTTGTGAATGGCTCTGCCGAACATACACTACGTGCATGTTCTGTAATATTTACATGACTTATTCACATAATTGCGACTTAATCAATATTTTCCTATTAACATTACTGTTTACTTATGTTTGTTTTGCAAATGAGTATATTTTTTTAAAACTGTTTTGTATTAACGTTATAAACGATGTACATATGTTCATGTTTATTTAGGACCCCATGGAAGACCACTACTTGTTGGTGAATGGGCTACCCTGTCAAAAGATCAGAAATAAATAAATACAAAAATAAATAAATAAATCACACCTTTATGGTATGCGTGTAATATCCAACATGATTGCAGGTCCCTCAGGGAGAACAGTATGAATACTGATGAGGCTACCCTTGTTAAACAAGACATATTATTATTATTATCATTAACATTCAAATGTATATTAAACATGTTTATTACTTCAAACTCATAATGAAAATTATAACAATTAAAAGGTCTTTACCGAATAATACATGATTCGGTCAAAAGATCAAAAATAATGATTTGGTTTATATTCTGTCAAGTTTTGAAGAGAGAAAAATGGCATTTCGTTATTTTTTAATGTGCGTGGCTTCCACCCGTATCTTATTCCTTAGTATTTCTACAAGAGTTTAGCAGGGATGCCATGCATTACCCCCCCCCCCCCAAAAAAAAGGGGGGCCACGGAGTCTTTTTCTAGAGCCTCTTTTTACCCATTGTACATGGGAACCGGTGTTCCCTGTATTAAGCCTATGGAAATTAGAGAATTCAGTAGTCAATAGGTTAAAGGAAACCAAAACCTTCATACTAAGTTACTTTTATTGTAAAGTTTAAGATATTTGAAAAATATCAGTGAAAATTTGAACAAAATCGGGCAAGGAATAAGGAAGTAAGAGCTTTTTGAAATGACTAGTCACTAGAGGGCGGTATTCAATTTGATGACATCATCTATAGACAACTCTCCATGCCTTTTGTACATCAAATTTCATGTTTTTCCTTCTTTCTTGTGATTGAGATAATGTACTCCCCTGAAAGCAAGATATAGAATGCAAAATGATATTCTGCTTCACATGTTATGAAGTCGGATCAAGAACACAAATAAATACGAAGAAAACAAAAAAATTGTGAAATTTGATGTACAAAAGGCATGGAGAGTTGTTCACAGATGATGTCATCAAATTGAATACCGCCCTCTAGTGACTATTCATTTCAAAATGCGCTAACTTTCTTATTCCTTGCCCAATTTTGTTCAAATTTTCACTGATTTTATTCAAATCTTTTAAACTTTACAATAAAAGTAACTTAGTATGAAGGTTTTGGTTTCCTTTAAGTTTGGCTGGTCCACTACATATAAAAAGGTCGATGTGTCACAAAACAAAGGTCTATGTACTTTCAAAGGTGGGGCAGCGCGTAAAATGCGTAGGTTACACACACGAGCGCACAAGACATTCTCGGATCCAAACAAAATTCTGATGTAAACACCGGAAAGAGATCATACATTCGGAGTAAGCAGTTCTGCAGGTAGCTGTTTCTTCATCGTTGGGTCCGAAATGGCGGGAATATCCGTGTCGAAAATCTCCTTGATGGTTTGGTTTGTCGTTTGTATCGGAGTTGAGACAGCTTCTGTTACCAATGATAAGGTATGTATTATAATCTTCTACTATCCCTTTGCTTACGGTATAGATAATTATACAGCTATATTGATTTACGGCCCACTTCAAGACCATTATCTTTATGAGCCATCGTTTTTATCATGTTTAGTAGACTTTGGAGCAGAATGGGCCACACCTCGTAGTGTTTCTTTAGCCTAGGAAACATGCAATGCTATGGGGCAATGGGTGACTGCAATCTTGCCATTTATAAAGATGACATTGCATTATCATTGTGCGTTAAAGTATATGTAGGTTGACAAATGAGTGTTACGTTGTAATGCAACATCAAATATTGCATCAAACATACAGAACAATTTAATGTGAGAGAAATCAGGTAAAAGTGTATCAAGCCTGAGAATAATCCATAATAATGCTGTCCTTTAGTATTAATAGATAGTATTAACATATTAACGAATACTTTAATGTGGGCCTACTGCATAAGGAGAGAGAGAAAGCTAGATAGATATATATATATATATATATATATATATATATATATATATATACAGGCAGACACACACACAGAGAAAACCAGAGAGAGAGAGAGAGAGAGAGGAAGAGAGAGAGAGAGGGGGGACGGGGATATTATAAATTAAGGTAGGAGGAAGGGGAAAAGCTGAAAGAGCGAGGGGCATCCCAGATAACAATACGACGTTACGCGAACGTGGGGCCAACGTAAGCTGTTACGTTGGTCCAACGTCGCCAACATGATGTTGGGCCCACGGCTTTCTTGCCGGCGGGCCAACGTTGGCCCGACAGTGACAAAATGACATTAAGCCAACATCGGGCCAACGTTATGCCGACCCCTATCCGACCATTTGTGCCGATGTCCTCCCGACATTGAACCAACGTTATGCCAACCTCTTTTCCACCGTATGCCGACGTCTTTCCGACATTGGACCAACGTCGTCCCAACCCTTTTTTAACCATGTGCCGACGTACGACCAACGTTATGCCAACCCCTATCCCACCATGTGCCGACGTTGTTCCGACATTGGATAAACGTTATGCCAACCCTTATCCCACCATGTGCCGACGTCTCCTCGACATTGGCCCAACGTTATACCAACCCCTTTTCAACCATGTGCCGACGTCTCCACGACGTAGGGCCAACGTTATTCCAACCCCTATCCCACCATGTGCCGACGTCGTGGGCTGTTACGTTGCGCCATCGTCGCCAATGTGATGTTGGGCCAACGGCTTTCTTGCCGGCGGGCCAACGTTGGCTCGACAGCGACGAAATGACATTAAGCCAACATCGGGCCAACGTCCCCCCGACGTATGACCAACGTCATGTCAACCCCTATCCCACCATATGCCGACATAGGACAAACGTAATGCCAACCCCTTTTCCACCATGTGCCGACGTCTCCCTGACGTAGGACCAACGTAATGCCAACCCCTTTTACACTATGTGCCGACGTCTCCCCGACGTTGTCCTAACATAATGCCAACCCTTTTCCCACCAAGTGCCGACCCCTCCTCCACCATGTGCCAATGCTAGACCAACGTTATGCCAACCTCTTCTCCACCATTTGCCGACGTAGAAGCAACGTTATGCCAACCCGTATCCCACCATGTGCCGACGTTGTACCTCCCCTTTCCAGTTCATGCCAACATCCTTCTGACATTACCAACACCAACTCAAAAACATATTCACACCAACATCAGTCGTCCGTTCATAAGAACATCGTCAAGATTATACTACATCGGACATGTACAATCATTCAAACACATGCATCACAACGTGACAAGGAAAAGCCAAGTAGTTTAAGATTGGATTAAGTAAATAAACAGAGCAAAATCCACAAAATGAAGATAGTAACAATTTCATCAAAATTAGACTGAATTTGAGAAAAGTTCATTATAGATCCCTCTGCAAGATAAGTATAATAACAATATTGAAGCAAGAGGGACATGTTATTTTAATTTCGTCATGTCTATTATCTTGTACATTTTAATCACTATCAAAACTTGGTAACAACTTATTTGTCCCATTTTAATGAAAAGTTCACCATCTTGCTTCTTAGAATTTGCTCTGAATACATCCCCTTCCTCCAAAACAAAAGAACAAGGAAAATACACTGATTTTGTGATAAAACATACTTTATTTTACGTGTAATAAACAAACTGTTGTAAATGTGAATACAATTATTGTACATCTTTCTTTTGTATTTTCGTTTGAATTCGAAAAAGATGTAAACATAGTTTCAAGTTCAAGGTATCTCAATGTGTCACAATATAGGCCTACTATCAATGAATGCTAGGACGATAGGAGCTGTTATAAAATGAATTGTCGCTTACACGTAACACAACATAACATACTGAAATTCATTGTACGAATATAATAAACAATCCTCACAACTTCCCGAGTAAAACAAAACAAACTTTCTGGCAGACGAACACGATTGCTTATGACAAGATTCCTCTACATATGTACAGCACAAAAATATAAAGAAATTAATAAAGTGTCCACCATTTGCATACCAAGAACTAGGCAATTAATGTAAACAATGTTCCATAAAAAATAAAAAATAAAATTCAGAGAAATTGCCAACATTTTTTATGCTTAGGCATTTCAGAGATGCTGATACATTTCGTCGCCATATCTATTGTTAACACATCTACAAACTGTTTTTTTTAAGGAGGGATAGTATACATTGCTTGAATGTGTGAAGTAAAGCAATCGCTAAATGTTTATATAACAACAGAGGAAAATTGAAAGTGAAGTAAGAAAGAGCAGAGCTTGTAAAGGGAAAAACACAAGTTTCTTCACTCTGATATACCACTTTCAATATTTCTTTAAATTGAGAAGAAGGTAGTACGAAAAACATTCAGTCACTTAGATATATGAAACATTTTTTTCTTACCTTTGAAATTCTTTATAGCATGTATTTAGTTGACACGTTATACAGGCATTCAAATCAATTACGACCTTCTTCGACTCATGGTATAGCTCTCTTTTTAAAATTGGGCCATTAGTGAAATTTCACCACAATAAATAACAAGTAAAGATGCATAGCACACTATTTAATAACAAAAGTTATTGTTTATGTTTGTGTACAAAACATAATGCCTGCAGAGCTGGCTAGCAAGCACCGTAGCTTGCCTAAGCGGAGATCGTTCTTGATATAACATCACTAATCCTTTGGTCAATCATTCCGAGGAACTCTGAGAATTGTAAGGGCGGGGTCCACCATTAGACGAGCAACTTGGAGAGGTTTTCAAAAAATTGTAAAAAATATAAGGAGGCGTTTATTTATGAAACAATTGTTATTATGTTGCTTTAAAAGGGTCTTGATACAAGACATAAAAGTTTTAATTTCCTAAGGTAATGGACCTTTAAAGAATGGGTTAGTCGGAATCAAAATCTTGTCTAGCTTGTGGTGGTACAACTTCGACATCTGCGGCAAAAAAAAGAAGAAGAAAGAAACCAAACAAGATTTAAAAGCAGATCATGGAAACATCACCTTGAAATAGTACGGATATTAATCAAATAGGTACGGCATTCAAGGGAAATAGTCCTGAGTGGCACATCCTCCCTAGTTTTGATGAAATTTCATGGATAGAAGTACTTTGTCATGAAAATAACTTCGTTCAAACTTTAGAGCGAATGACCCAGACGTATGGAAATTAGAAAGGAATGGATTTCTTTTATTTTTGTCTTGTTTAATTAGAATAGCACCAAACACTCTTATTAACAAAGGAAATATACATTTGAGGTAAAATGGCAGTAATATTCTTCAATAGAAAGAACCAATTTATAGTATCTGTTTGCTCAGTGTTGAGATGCTTGATTGATAACAGTTTAAAGCCCCTCTTAAGTGTTGGATCCCAAAATTAGCCAAAGAATAGATGGCACAATCTCACTTAAATGGTACGATGTAAAAGAGGATGTCATTAACACCCGGACACTTCTGCAAATAGAATATTGCCCTAACAAATGTGTTTGAAGTAGAATATGGATGAAAGAATACAAAATTTGCGTTTTCTGCATACAACACAAAACCCTTATTAGTAAGCTTGTATTCTTTCTAATTTTTAGGACAAATGTTTGAAGAAGAGTGGCATTTTCTTTCACATCATTATAACATTGAAGTGAAATGTGAAGCTCCCAATACTTTTTTTGTATTTATGTAAGCTCCCAATACTTGAGAGAGCTCGAGGGGCTTCAAAGTAGAAACAAAAACACAAAGCTATATCGTTAGTTGCTTATACAAGAAACAAATCAATTGACTGTGTTTTGTTTTTTGTGGCACCCTGCATTCAGAATTGTTTCCAAAAAAATACTGCTATAAGCAGTATTTCATGATTTGTTGTTGTTGAATAGTTTTGTAAGTGATCACAATGCAGTTTCTCAATATAATCAGGAAAAAGATACTAGCATCCGTTAGCAGCTATGTCCTACACAAACGTACATTAATCCAGTACATTTGTACTTTGTGTGCAGGGCACAACTATAACGAATACTAAGAAGTGCTATCCTGTCTACATGTATAACTAAATACAAAATGAATAAAATGCCAAATGACATACCCATATTTCTGAATGTTGAGGTCAGTGGGGTCGTTGGGGTCGACAGTGTTCTGGAGGTTGATGGGGTCGATGTCGAAGGGGTCCTTGGTGCTGTTGATGCTGTTCTGGATGATCGAGGTAGAAGTAGCTGGATCTGAACGGGTAGAGGAATCTGGAATTTGTTGTGAAGTTGACGATATGAAATGCAGGATTTAATATTTAAATTTCAGAATTGTAGGAATTATGGGAGAAAAAAGTATTGGGATTTGGAAGAGCTAACGTATTAATAAAGAACGTCAGAATTTTAAAAATAAATAATTAGAATATTTACCTTCAGTTCAAATTATAGCAATTTAATATACATGTGCATAAACAATAAAAACTAATTTGAAAATGAGAATAAAAATGCAGCAATAATCAAATTTGTGAATGAAAATTGTGAATGAAAATTATGGGATCGATCAGTGTTACCC